CTGTCTGTGTCCTCTGTCCTCACTCTGTCCTCTGCATCCTCTGTCCTCAGTGAGCAGTGCCCCCACCCCCCCCCATCTCTCTGATCTGCTACAACCGTATGTCCCACCACGCTCCCTGAGGTCAGCGGACCAGTTGCTCCTCACAGTTCCAGGAACTCGTCTTAAGCGCAGAGGTGACAGGACCTTCTCTGTAGCAGGACCAAGACTTTGGAATGAGTTACCTCTGCTTGTCAGACAGGCCCCCTCCCTCTCAGTTTTCAAGTCCCGTTTAAAAACTCACTACTATTCAGTAACTTTCAACACCAGATGATCTGTGTTTGATCCTGTATGCTCCACACTGGTTTGTCGTCATTATCTGCATCGTTTTTATGTCTATATTCTGATTTACCTCATTTTGTATTTTGCTTTGTGTGTTACCTGTTGTTCTGTCTGTACAGCACTTTGGTTGGCCTTGTAGCTGTTTTAAGTGCTCTATAAATAAAATGGTATGGTATGGTAAGAAGGGAAAGGCTGTCGTCCTGCTGAGCACCATGCATGATGACAAAGCAGTGGATAACAGCAGTCAGAAGAAACCAGTGTGATCCAGTACTACAATAAAACAAAAGGAGTGGACACAATGGACCAAATGGTTAGCAACTACACGTCTGTGGAGAACAAGGGGGTGGCCCATGGTTCTGTGGTGCAATATGTTGGATGTTGCCACTCAGTGTCTACATCTTCTTCAGTGCACAACACCCTGATCATGTGGGTGGAGCGAGTAATGCACCACCAACATTTCACCAGTTTACACTTGTTAAACCACAGATAAAGTTCAGTTCAACAGCTGTTGTCAGGAGGTGTGTGCACGTGTGACAAAATGACAAACATGTTGCAAATACTAAATAACTGTTTGGCCTCATTCACTGCTACAGTAATTACTTGAAACACATTTTTATTAGACTGTTAAGACAGTTAATTGTAAATCACACTTGGATGACCCATGTGTAGTAATACAAAAAGTATTTTTGCTCATAACGTAGGAAAAAAAAATTAATGATCTGTGGTAATAAAAACATTTAAAGAATACTTGGAATATTCAATCATAAAATAAATTGATTTCAAAAGATAGAGCAAAGAAAAACTCAGTCATTAGAAGGGGTGTGCATATGTTGTGCATCAAAGGGTTTAAGAGACATAACCTTTACTCAGGAATCCTAGCCAACTATAGATCTATATCTAATCTAACGTTCATCTAAAAATTCTAGAGAAAATAGTTGCAGGTCAGTTAGTTGATCATCTGCAAAGAAATAATCTGAAGAGTTTCAGTCAGGGTTTAGAGCTCACCACATGCACTGAATCTGCACTGGTGAAAGTCACTAATGATATTCTCATGGCCTCAGACAATGGACTTGTGTCTCTACTGGTCCTGTTAGACCTCAGTGCTGCATTTGATACAGTTGATCACAATGTTTTACTACAGAGGCTTGAATATGATGTTGGGATTACAGGAACAGCTCTAAAATGGTTTAAATCATATCTATCTGATAGATTCCAGTTTGTAAATGAAAATAATGAATCTTCTTCATACACCAAAGTTAGTCATGAAGTTATGGGGGGAGTGGTGGTGCAGAGGTTAGAAGATAGGCCTGTGATCAGAAAGTTGCAGGTTCAACTCCCGGTACCGTCAACCCCAAAATGTATGTGGAAAAGGTGAAAGACCCACACCTGCCTCCACCTTCATTTGCCCCACCCTGGGCCCCTGAGCAAGGCCCTTAACCCCCACCATGTGCTCCCTAAACAGGTCTCTCTTGAAAATGAGTTCTCGTGCTCAATGAGACTAACCTGGATAAATAAAGGCTAAATGAAAAAAAAAAAAAAAAAAGAGTTCCTCAAGGTTCAGTGCTTGGACCAATACTCTTTACCTTATATATGCTTCCATTTGGGAAAGTTATTAAGGTCAAGTTAAAGGTTTTCTTTATTGTCATTCATATCTCATGTGGTACATGTGGTGGGATGAAATTGTGCACACAAGGTCCCAGTTACATCCAACAAAAGTACAAACTGTAAATAAAACAATAATAATATCTAAGATATGAACTAAGAATACCCTAAACAGCAGAATGTGAAGCTATTTCAGTTCTCATGCTCCTCTCTTGTGGAACCAACTTCCAGTTTGTGTCCATGAGGCTGACACATTGTCCAGTTTAAGACTGGGATTAAGACTTCTCGATAAATCCTATAGTTAGGCTTGTTATGCTGCTATAGACTTAGACTACTAGAGGACAAATTGACCTCATTTCCTTAAATTAATTGTTAAAATTGAATAGTTTTCATTTGATACTGTTTCTATCTTAACATGTGATTCTTGCCCTGCCATTGTGTATCTATTCCTACCAAACCCAGCCGGTCGAAGCAGATGGTCCTCTAGTCCTGATCCTGGTTCTGCTAAAGGTTTCTTCCTCATGAGGGAGTTTTTCTTTCCACTGTCGCCTTCATGCTTGTTCAAGATGAGAGTTCTTTTTTTTTTTTTAACGTTATTGATCTACTGAACATACAGAACAAAAGAACACAAATAGAACAACAAATGACAATCTCAAATTACAATGATACATATAAACATATACAAATATCTACAATCATACCTCCTAAGGTCAACATATTCTAAAACGAATTATCATATCAACCATCATAAACTTAAAATTTAGGTAATAATACTATTTGAGAGTTTGCAAATAATATAGTACAGTAAATTAAACAACTAACTATTTATCTAAGAATCTACATAATTACTAAAATAATTTGTCAGAGAGCTTTATTATCTGAGCGAGGTGATCAGAGCTTTTTCACTTGTGGTTTTTTAGCACAGTCTAATGAAAGTTTTAACAACTGGAGTTCTTGTTTGAATACAGACCATAATGGTTTAGACTTGCCATATCTGCATTTATGTATATAGAATTTCAATATTATGATAATGTTATTGACAAAGTATTCATCTTTTTTATTTTCAGATACATATCCATATAATATATTCTGAACGGAGAAGGAGTCTATGTTCATAGATTTGATGGTCAGGAGATCGTGAAGGGATTTCCATAATGTGTTCACAGAATGACAGAAATAAAATAAATGTTCTGTTGTTTCAGGTTCGTTACATGTAGAACAGTTATCACATTCAAATTTAAATCTATTTCTGAAAAACTCGTTACAAGGATAAATATAAGATGAGAATTCAGTGATGGAGTTAAACTCAAAGCTGCTCCTCAGATAAATAATGTTCAATTATTATTTTATACATGAATGTTTCTGTTCAATTATTATTTTATACATGAATGTTTCTGATCAATTATTATTTTATACATGAATGTTTCTGATCAATTATTATTTTATACATGAATGTTTCTGTTCAATTATTATTTTATACATGAATGTTTCTGTTCAGTCCCTGAGACGACTTCTGTTGTGACTCGGAGCTTTAGAAATAAACTGAATTGATCTGAACTGAAGCTGCTCGGCTGCAGACTGGAAGGATCTGAGCAGGGAGGTGAGAATGGCAGAGATCATTAGACTCCCCTCCGCCTCACCAGAGCCAACAAAACCAAAGAGACAACTCACACCCACAATATGGACTGTTTATTCTGTTGACCTCTGGCAGGAGGTGCTGCAACCTGAGGACCAGAACCACCAGGTTCTGCATCAGTTTCATAACAAAGTCCATGCTCAATAATCCAGGTATACAATCCAACATTTTTCAGTCAGGTCATCTGGAGTTTCTTTTTTTGTGCTGAAACGTTTCGTCTTCGATCCGGAAGGCTTCATCAGTCAAGGAAACTTATCACCAACATAACTGGTTTGTTTCACTTTGGAGTAAGCTGTTTGGGGCAAGAATCAGTTTTGTGTTGTGTGTTTCCTTGACTGATGAAGCCTTCTGGATAGAAGGAGAAACATTTCAACACACAAAAAAAGTAACTGTCCAGATGACCTGAGTGAAAAATGTTGGGCATCAGTTTCATAGCACAGGCCATCAGACTGCTGAACTCAGGTCAGTAATGACGTGACCACAGTAGCAAACACACACACGGCCAGACCTGAGTAATACACCTGAACAGGTAATATGTGTGACTCAGCACTCAGGTTGGATGTTGTTATTCCCTTCTGGTAAACGGTGTCTTCCTCGTTACTGATGGAGAGAAATTAAACAACTCATTTGGTTTTGCAGGCTGAGCTGTACAATTTGAATGACAAAGTTAAAGAAATTGACAATGGTGATCATTTAAATTTGTTGCAAACTGCATTTTGCATTTACGAGTTTATCTGACGTGAACATTTGTTTATTGATCTAAAAACATGACGTGTGATAAAAACAAAATAACTCACATCCTTTAAGCACGTACTGTACATGAACGAGACTCGTTTGCTCTGGTTCTGTGGGATGAATCTTGTGAACAGATGGAATCACATCAGTGTTGCGCTGCATGTGGGCCAGTCGTCGTCCTGCATTTGCTGTAAATACTGTGTGAGAACAGAGGGCAGAGGGAGGAGAGGCAGCAGCTTCAGTCTGTCTCGCCCAATCACAGTTCTAATCTGAAGACGACACAAGTGGCACAGACTTCTGGGTGAAACTGGGGACAAAGCGTGGTGACCTGTAAGAGCTCGCTACAACTTCCACACAAAATAATATTGCTCCAATAATGCAGCTGTACCTTGAAACGCAGCTAGCAGCTGCTGAATCCTTTCACCTGGACGTGCCAAATCCATGGGCCGCTGAGCATTCTCGTCTCTGAGGTTGACGTCAGCGCCGTAGTTGAGTAACAGGGAGACCTGACGTGCACTGTCCTGCCTGACAGCCGCATGCAAAGGGCTGTCGTCCCCTTGGCCCACATTAACACAGGCTCCTGGATCAAACCACAGAAAGGCAAGAGGAAATAAACCACACACTTACTACGGTGGGGGCTTTTCAGCACTGCTGCCTCACTGCAAGAAGGTTGCAGGTCCAACTCCAAGTCTTTCTATGTGAACTTTACATGTTCATCCTGTGCATGCATAGGTGTCGCAACAATTATATGTGATGGGGACGTATACCCCTCACATTAAAAAATATTCATTTGGACCCCCCACATTTACCATGAAATATTGGTTCACCCAGTGCTGTTGCCATTTCCACATGAACAAATCCATTCCGCTTGACTAGTAGGAAAATACTCAAACCACTGAGTCCACTGCAGGTCTTCCTGATGACCTACAAGAACTCACCACATGCAGTTTTCTCCAGGTCATTTGACAGAGCAGGGGAGGAGGGGGAGACACCTCTTCTATGTTGCGCACTAGCTTAGCGCCACGTTAGTGTGAGCAGTGGTTGACCTGGGGGAGGAGGGGTGTGCCTTGCTCTCTACAATAGTTATTCAATCGTTTACTAATGTAAACTTAAAGACATTAAAATTAGGGCATTAACAGGGTACTCGAGTAATTACACATCGATTGCTGGGACATCTATCGAGGTTAAAAATGTAACGTCGAGTATCCATAGTGACGTCATATCATGTGACCACCGTATGACCGTAGGGGGCGGTGTTGCGCTGTTGCAGGTCACAGAGTATGGTGTAACACCGGGTCCAATCCACCAGAACCAGGTTCGGTTTAAGTTTCATTTTTGACGTGCTGCATGTTTCTTCACGGTTGCAGTTTAATAATAAAAATTAATAGATTAGTTTTTCCTGTGACTTATTTGCAGTTTGATAAATGGTAGAAGCATAATATACACTCCCAATGTTTTGTTGGTCTTTTTTTGTAAATAATTACCTTTTTTTTGCGGTTTTATTTATTTATATATTTTTGTATCTTGAGATCTATGACGTCATCAAATACTCGAGTTCTACTCGGGTTTTATTATGTTAATGTTGAGTTTAAAAATTATATACTCGTTCAACCCCTAATTAAAATACACAATAATGAAAGAAATGGCATCTACTTTATTCAAAATTTCCTCCCACCAGTCCCCCCCCCCCAACTACAAATGCTTCTGACACCAATGTGTGCATGTCTACGTTTTCACTAGTTGTCTCATGTACAAAACTCTACACATAAATATGAACGTCATCTTCAGAACACGATACAAAGCAGTGAAGAGAAACACCTTGAACAACAACGGCTTTAGACTCGTTTCAGTGGTAATAACACTGATCCATTTCAGTGAATTACATCCATCCACCATCCTTTATCTTCTGCTTGTTCCGAAGACGGGTCACGGGGGCAGCATCTTGAGCAGGGAGGCCCAGACATCTCTCTCCACAGCCTCTTCAAGTTCTTCTGGGAGGACTCCAAGGTGTTCCCAGACCAAATGAGAGACATAGTCTCTCCAGTGTGTCCTGGTCTTCCCCGGGGTCTCCTCCTAGTTGGACATGCCCGAAGCACCTCTCTAGGGAGGCACCATGGGGGCATCCTTACCAGATGCCTGAACCACCTCATCTGGCTCCTCTGGATGCGGAGGAGCAGTGGTTCTGCTCTGAGGCGCTATTTACACGGACACGATGGGGGAAACGTAGGTTTTTTCGTATGTTAATTAGAGGAAAAGATCCGCGTTGACACAGTCGGATTTTGTGTTTACATGCATCCGGAGGATTCCCCCCCGCCCTCCTGAATCCGCTGTAGTTACCATGCCGGGTCATTAGATGGCGCTGTGAATTTTGTACCTTCACCTAATGCGCATGCGTGCTGCCTCGGCACACTGTTTTGCTCTGGGCTAAAAGCTCAGCTAACAACAACGTAACAAGTTAAAGCTGGATTTTGGATGAGAGTGACAGATTTGACACCAAGCGGGACCGCTTCGTCTAACAGCTCCACACCGGTCGCTGAGTGGACCAGAACGAGTCAACGATGTCGGACTTTACTCCGTGATCATCAGTAGCTGCTTTACAGCAGGTAAATCAAATGTTCTTAATAATGTTAGTTTGTGTTTACTTCAGTTACAAAATAACCAACTGAGTTTTTAGTTTTCCTGAAAGAAGAAGCAGCTGTCCTCCACCAGGCAGACCGGTTCTGAACGAGGCTCGGCCCAGGTGCACTGCAGGAGGACGTCGAAGAGAGATGTTGGATGAACTATTTTTTTTAAATTCCCCTCAGTTCTTTTATTCAACCCATTCAATGATTTAATCTGCATTAATCAAAGGAGTGACTTCCTGAACGAGCCAGATGAACAACGTGGGACTTCCAGGATGAAAACAAGAGTCCAGTTCGTTAATGCAGTTTACTGTTAACGTGTTTTTAATAGTGTGTTCAGTTTAATTATCAGAGTTTGTGTGACATACAGTTTGTGGTGTTGAATAATAAAATGAAAATTAAACCTGAAGTCTTCATTTTCAACTTTAGTAACACTCAACATGTTTAGCATCATTTTAATCACATAATTTGAATTACATAATGTCCAGAGAGCTTCATTATATATCTCAAACTTAAGATAAATACTGTTTATTATTATTAAACTTGTTATTTAGCACATTTAGTATGTTATAGTGCAGCGTGACGTGTGCACGTGCCTCGTTCTATAAACAGCGACATTAGAACTGGATCAGACTGTGTCTCTTCCAACACAGATGTTGGTCACAGCACCTGTAATCTGACGTAGATTAACTACGAGATTAAAATATATTCCATCAGTCGTAGTTCAGAAAGCAGTGTGTCGCCGCCATGTTGATAGAAATATAGCGTCTGTCCGTGCGTGCATGTGCGCATGTGGTTTAACACGAAGCCTCAGCGGGAGACGTTCACATCATCAGCGGGGGGTCAGAGAAAAACCTCCACTCTGGAAGGTGGGTTCAGAAACCTCTGGATTCAAAGAGGGGGGCACTGGTGTCGTGTAGATGATCAGCAGAACATGCACTCAAAATACGCGCCGTGTAAACGGACCCTGAGTCTCTCCTGATAACTGAACTTCTCCCCCTGTCTCTAAGGAGAGTCCAGCTGCCCTGCAGAGGAAACTCATATGAAAAGAATTGTGTGCAAAGAAATTACACAAAGAAAGATGATGACAAGTCATGGATGACCAAAGTGTTGAGAAATGCTTGTAACAAAAAGAACTACTTGAACTCGTGCTTCCTGAAATGAAGAACAAAAGGAGCGGAAGAGAGATACAAGAAGTATAAAATAAGTTGGCATGGATTATAAAAAAGCATAAGAAGGAATATTACAGTGATTTATTAGACAAAAGTAATGGTACTATGAGGGCAACGTGGCAAATCATGAATAGTGTCCTGAAAAATCATGAAGTAAAATCAGGTATTCCACAGTATTTTGTAAAGGATGGTAAAGAAACCCATGATCTGAATGAAATTGTAAATGGATTTAATCATTATTTTGTGAATGTTGGCCCAAGTCTCGCAACTAAAATACCAAAAGTAGATAAAAATGTGAATCATACAGTCACGGGTTGTTTCAACTGTATTTTTCTTGATGGAACTGACAAAGAAGAAATAATGAATATTGTAAAAAAATCTTGCAGACAAGTGATCCTATTTGTTAAAAAAAAAAATCTGCATGCCTTTTAATAACTGTCTATTGTTGTCATCATTCTTTCGTTGAAATCAGGTCTCTCTTGTAAATGAGGCTCAAGGGGATTAACCTGTCCAAATAAAGGTTGAATGAATAAATGAAAAAGATAAAACGATTGGGTGGATATGGACATGATGTTTGTAAAGAATATAACGAATTATGTTATTGAGCCGTTTACAAATAAATCTAATTTATCATTCTCAACAGGAATATTTCCAAACAACATGTAAATAGCCAAGGTAATACTTCTTTTTAAAAATGGTGAGAAACGTGTGATTAACAATCACAGACCAATATCCTTGTTGCCACAGTTTTCAAAGATTTTAGAGAAGTTATTTGTGATTAGACCGGATCAATTTATTGATAAACAGAATCTATTAAGTAACAGTCAATATGGGTTTAGAACTAAAAATTCTACATCAATGGCTCTCATGGAATTAATAGAACAAATAACTGCTGTTGATCAAAAAAAGTATTGTGTTAGTATTTATACTGATTTAAAGAAAGCATTTGATACTATTGACCAAAGTATTCTTCTTGAAAAACTAAATAAATATGGTATTAGAGCATTACAGTGGGTATCTAGTTATTTAGAAGGAAACAGTTTGTTCAAATAAATGATGTAAGATCTGAACTTTGTAACATCACATGTGGAGTGCCTCAAGGTTCTGTACTTGGACCTAAGTTATTTATTTTATATATAAATGACCTGCTTAATGTGTCAGGACTGTTTAGATGTGTTTTATTTGCAGATGATACTAGATTTCTTTGTTGGGGTAAAGATATAGAACAAATTTGAAGTTGATACAGACAGAATTTGCGAAAACAAATTATCATTAAATTTGAATAAAACAAAGTACATGATATTCTGTAACAATAAGAGAAGTGTCGATGCTCCATTTAGAGTCGATGGTGTTGAGATTTGTAGAGTCAGTGAGGTGAAGTTTCTGGGTGTCATCCTTGATGAAAAACTAACATGGAAACCTCACATAAATAATTTAAGAACAAAAATATCTAAATCTGTTGCAGTACTGTACAAAGTGAGGGAGTTACTCAATGATAAAGCTCTGTTTATGTTGTATAATGCAATAATTGTCCCACACTTAATTTACTGTACTGAAGTCTGGGCTAAAGCATGTAAAACTATTACAAATCCTATTTTTATTTTACAGAAAAGAGCTGTAAGAATTATCACTAGAAAATATTATAGACATCCATCAAATACATTGTTTTATAAACTGAAGATATTAAAATTATATGACTTGGTTGATTATAATATTTTTGCCGTTTATGTATAAGGCTCTCAAAAACATACTACCTTCAAATATCCAAGTAAATTTTATTAAAAGGGACAGTGGTTGTTATCTTACGGGGACAGATGTTTGTGAAGCGCTGGTTTCGTACCAGTTTGAAGGAGCGGTCTAGTATAATTCAGGGAACAGGACTGGTCTGAAGGATGATGTTAAAACTGCCACATCTATGTACATATTCAAGAAAATGTTAAAAGTTAATTTTCTAAAGGAATATGGAAAAATATAATGTGTATATATGCAAATTTTGTTTGAGTTGATGTTTTTAATTAGCTTTGTTTTTTTTTGTAAAATTACTTTTGTTTGAATATATTCTGGGAAAAAAGGGGCAGATATAAGATTTATTCTTTTTCTGCTGCCTTTCATTTTAGTTTTGATTGTATACATATTTTTGTTTTCTATTGTATATTGTTATTTTGTTTTTAATGAAATTAATACATTTCTAAATAAAATAATTTTTAAAAAAAATTCAACGTCCTGTCTCCTCAATCTCATTCTTTTGGTCACTACCCAGAGTTCATGACCAGAGGTGAGGGTAGGAATGTAGACTGACTGATAAACAGAGAGCTTTGTCTTACAGCTCAGCTCTCTCTTCACCACAACAGACCGGTACAGAGTCCACAATACTGCAGACGCTGCACCAATCCATCTGCCAATCTCATGCTCCATTCTTCCCTCACTCATGAACAAAACCCTGAGATACTTGAACTCCTCCACTTGAGGCAGAACCTCACCCTCGACCTGAAGACAACAATCCACACTTTTCTGACTGAGGACCACGGTCTCAGATCTGGAGGTGCTGGTACTCATCCCAGCTGCTTCACACTCGGCTGTGCACTGCTCCAGTGAGAGCTGAAGATCATGACACGATGACGCCAACAGGACCACATCAAAGAGCAGAGATGGAATCCCGAGGCCACCAAACCAGAATCCATCTGCCCCCTGGCTGCACCAAGAAATTCTGTTCATAAAAGTTGAGAACAGAATCGGTGACAATGGGCAACCCTGGCGGAGTCCATCTCCCACCCTGAAGGGATCTGACTTATTACCAGCAATGGGAACCCAAGTCTCACACCACTTGTATAGGGACCGAACAGCCCGTAACAACGGGCCCCTAATCCCATACTCATGGAGCACCCCTCAGTGTACCCCAAGAAACATGGTCGAATGCCTTCTCCAAGTCCACAAAACACATGTAGACTGGACTAGAACCTCCTTCTTCCACCTGCGTAATATCACTAACATTAGAAACATCTGATCTAAAGATGATGCAGAAAAACTGGTCCATGCATTTGTCACATCACATGGTCCTTCTTGAGCATGTGATCAGCTGGTTCTGGTTGTCAGCAGCAAACTGGTTGATCCACTCTGAGAAGGTGCTATTTAAGAGACTGAGCTGAATACAGCACCTCAGACTGAGGAAGTCCTCAGGATGAGAGACGAAACGTTTCTACATTTTTTTGCTTTGTTTTTTTAAATTTTTTGTTTTCTTGTTTTTTGAATGTCCAGAGGACCAGATTGAACTTTTTTGTATTTTTCTACCTGGATTATTGAGCATGCATCAGGATACTATGTGACTAACTTTTTATTTTTAAATTATTCAATATTTTACTAACAGAATAGTCAAGTAGCAACTTGTTTTTTGTGGAATTTGCTACGTCAGTCAAATTTTGGAATAAAGAGGTGACAATTAAAACATTTGTTTGTTTTTTTGCCTATTCGTCGATTTATCGGGGGGAAAATAGTTGCTTGATTAATCGATTATTGAAATAATCGTTACTTGCAGCCCTACACTTATGGACACCCTTATGTTTGAGCATGGTGTTTGTGATGGACAAACTATGACAAGCACAGAAGTCCAACAACAGAACACCGTTCAGCTTCAGATCAGAGAGGCTGTTCCTCCCAATCATGCCCCTCCAGTTCACACTGTTGTTACCCACATGGGCATTGAAGTCCCCCAGCAGAATAAAGGAGTCCCCAGCTGGTGCACCTTCCAGCACCCCTGCCAAGAACTCCAAGAAGGCCGGATACTCTGAACTGCCGTTGGGCGAATAGGCACAAACAACAGTCAGAGCCCATCCCTGGACCCGAAGGTGCAGAGAAGCTACCCTCTCACCCACTGGGAAAACCTCCAACACACAGACACTTAGTCGGAGAGCTACAAGTAGACGCACACATTCTTGGTGCCTCTCACCATGGGCAACTCCAGAGTAGAATAAGGTCCAGCCCATCTCAAGGAGATCGGTTCCAGAGCCCATGCTGTGCATCGAGGTGAGTCCAACTATATCTAGTTGGTACCTCTCAACCTCACGCACAAGCTCAGGCTCCTTCCCCACCAGAGAGGTCATGTTCCATGTTATATGTTGTTAATATACATAACATTACTGAATATCAAAGTTCATGCTCAGTAATCCAGGTCAAAAACCCAACAAAGTTCAGTCAGGTCCTCTGGACGATTTCTTTTTTGTTGTTGTTGTTGAAACCGTGCAACCATTTGTTTCAACAACAACAACAACAACAAAAAAGAAACTGTCCAGAGGACCTGACTGAACTTTGTTGGAATATTACTGAATATTTCACAGGGCAAAGACAGCGTACACTTTTGGACCCAGTTGACGGCCAGACCATCGCCATTTTAAGTTAACGAGGGCAGCCCTGTTGGAACTTGGCTCAGGGCGGCAAACACATTTAGTGCATGGTAACGTGCCATCGGCTGCCATATCTATACAGCTGCTGACCACACTGGGAAGACTGGTTGGAACTGTGAGTTACAGACGAGATGTTTGCAATGATCTGGATCGTTTGAGCAGCTCTTTACAACAAACAATAAGAAGCATACTGCAGAAAAAAACTACATTTTAGTGGTGAAAGAAATGGCACACACCTCGAGCTAACAGAACCTTTGAGCAGGCTGTGTGCTGGTGAACACAGCTCACATAGAGAGGAGAACCCAGGTGGACCGCTTGATGGTTTGGATCTGCTCCATGAGACAGAAGTGAGTCCACACACTGACTGTTACCTACACACACACACACAGAGAGAGAGAGAGACACACACACAAGTTACAGTAACTGTTGGGAAAATTTGGGGTATGAATATTTTTATTGTGTTTCTTTATTATGACTGAAATGGTTGAGAACATCTTTCCCTCCTGCTTTGAGAACATGCCCAAAACATTCTCTTATTGCATCTTGATGCATGCTCAATAATCCAGGTAGAAAAATCCAAAAAAGTTCAATCTCGTCCTCTGGACCTCTATTTAAGAGACTGAGCTGAAAACAGCACCTCAGACTGAGGAAGTCTCTTGGATGAGAGACGAAACGTTTCTAGATTTTTTTGCTTTGTTTTGTTTTTTGTTTTTTTGAATGTCCAGAGGACCAGATTGAACTTTTTTGGACTCTCTTATTGCCAACTGGAGGCTGACTGTTGGATCCAGGACAGTGGCCCCATACTGAGAGATTGTTTTGATCGAACAGACTGGCAGGTTTTCAGAGAAGCTGCTGAAAATGGAGGTTCGCTTGATCTTGACCAATACACATCCTCAGTACTGGGTTACATTAGTACATGTACTGACACAGTCTCCACTATCAGATATGTTAAAAGCTACCCAAACAGAAAACCTTGGCTGAATGCAGAGGTGCGTACCCTGCTGGAAGCCAGGAACACTGCCTTCAGGTCTGGAAACTCAGAGGAGCTGAGTAGGACAAGAAAAGAGCTGGTTGCTGGTATTAAGAGGGCCAAGGCCACATATGCACAGAGGATCGAGGGTCAATTCATCTCACAAGACCCTCGGAGCATGTGGAGGGGCATTAAGTGCATAACAGATTATAAAGGAAGGAGTGAACAATGTCCCAAAGACCCATCTCTGCCTGATGCCCTCAACAAGTTCTATGCACGCTTTGAAGACCCGAACAGACCACCCAGCACCAGACTCACCTCACCACCGGATGAAGAGCATCTCAGCGTGACCTCAGCAGAAGTAAGGAG